GTTTTTTTTTTTTCGATCTGGTAGAGCCACGCTAGCTGTTTCCTTGTTTACGCTGAGCTACTTGATCGTAGCGTCGTCTTTATGGTACAGACCCGAGGAGAGGTCGAATCCTCTCATTACAGTTTTGGTCACAAAGCGGTCGATTGTAGTCTCAAAAAACTGTCAGCTATCACACGGAGAAAAGTTGGTAGTCAGGGGCTGCAGTGGTCAGCTAAGTTTGATTTCATATTTTGATGACAATCATGAATTCTTTTTGATGATATTGTAAAAGGCACTTTTAAGTCTCACAATATTTTATTATACAACTGTGTGTGTCAGCATTTGAGTCTCTGCAAGGTCATTTGAAACTGAAACCAGTCCGTTTGATTCTCTTAATCGTCTGTCCAGATGAAGTCAAGATGTCTTCTTTTCACTGCTGATACTTTTTTTACTTTTTCACTCCCTTTTTTTTTTTTTGCTTTTCTTGCCCTTCTGCCAATCAAACGTGTACTTTCCTGCTACTTTGTGCAATGTTTTGCCTGTCTTTGCATATCAGGTGTCTGCTGTTTGCCTGTGGATCTTTTCTCTTGAGTTTTTTTTCAGCTACCAGACTCGAACCTAAAGATGTTGCCGTTTGTGACCCAAATCATGAAATTTGTGGCATGTGTGGGCCAAAGGACTGCAAGCAAAGTTGACAAAAAAAAGAGCATCAGTGTGGACCTACGATAGAGAACACCCTGTGTGTCCCCGGTTAGTGTGAAGCTCAAGTGTATTTCTTCCAGGTGAAGATCTTAAACACACATTACAGCCCCTCAGAAAAAGAAAAAAAAAGAATTGAGCGAGAAGATGTGTCCAAAAGGGAAAAAAAAAGGTGAAGACAATGACTGGATCACAATCAAAATTTAACATAATGTCTGTATGTATGATACGTGTGTGTGCAAGTGTGTTTAAAGTTCTTTTTCAAAAAATTGATTTGAGTTATTTTTGAATACCGCTGGACATGAACCTGCCAGAGAGATTACTATCAGTGGGAGGAAAAAAAGACAAAAAGATGAAAAAAATAAGAATAAAAAAGCCTTGTTACAATATGGGAGAGAACTGCCAACAAGTACTGCTGATTGGGGCCTATTTTATTCAGTGCTGGTGTGTTGTTGTGCTTGTACATATATGTCTTTTCAATCATCCCTTTTTTCCTCTTGGGGGTGGGGTATCAAGGCTGGGGGTGGGTCTTATCCATGAAAAGAGAGGAGGTAAAAGAATAGAGTATTTTGTTATTGTCCAATCAGAGGGTGACAGTATGTATATATCTATATTGTATATATGTGATGAAAATGCGTTGGCTTTTTGTGTGACACTACCTTTTACCTGTACTATGGTTCTACATTCAGTGTTTCAGTGTTGATAATATATATTTGGTTTGTGTTTAATTTTTCTGTTTTTTTGATTTTGTCTTTGTCATTTCTCGTATTTTTTTTTCTCCTATTTTGTCCTTTTTTTGTTTATTGCACGGTTTATTACTTTTGTTGTCCAATGAGGTGACACAGCTACTCTTTGTATTCGTTTAGTGCTGTAAAATAACTCAAGTGTTATTAGACTTGTCGATACCACCGCCCACCCCACCCCCATCCCCAATATGCATGAATGGCACTTAAAGAAATAAAATATGGTAACTTCACTGTGGATTAATGTGCTGTTTGAGCTTTGTTTCTGAAGCTTTGTGTCTATATAATGTAAAAAAAAAACATTTAAAGTTCCAAATCATCTACATGTTGAGTCACAGTTGTCCAAATCCAGAGCAAAAATATTCCTCAAGAATCAGTTATTCATCTAAAATCAATATTTCTTTGATAAGCATCCAGAGACAACTAAAGGAACCTCAAACCTCAAGAACCATTGTGAGATAAACAGACAAAATACACACAATAAGACAAAAAGGGTTATACCTAAATGTTAAGATATAAGGGTGTTACCAAACTGCACACATGAAAAATGTATTAGACTTAGTAAACACACACACTTATGAAAATGCACCTTCATATATATACAGAGATGTAGATGTAATAGACTGAATATTACATACACAAACATTTACCAATGATATATCATTAACCAATGAAAACCTTGGAATAAAGTGTTAACAACGAGGGCTGTAACTAGTTTAATTACTAGTGACTAAGTCTGTATAGTGTAATGAGCAGTACGAAATATGCTCTCTTTTGTTTGCTTATAAGGGCCTATCTCCACAAACTATTTTTTTACTCCCGAAGGGCATATTTTTTTATGCAAATCTAACGCAGTCCAGTGTTTTTACCACCACTAACACAATCACAATGATGTCCTCTGTTTTTAATCGCTGTGCTCTAAGTTGAGGATATTTAAACTTTTTGAACACGACTAAACTGAAAACAAAAAGCGGTGGTATTTTTGTCATCAACAGTGTCAACAACAATGGCTGAAATACATACTGAAGAGAAACCATAATTCTTTTTTACAGGGTACAATGTTCAGGTCCAGAGCAGCTGATCATGCTACAGCTAGTTTTCTGCCACACAAAAATACAGCTGTTAGTGGACACAGGCCCTAAAAAGAATAAGGAACTTTTAAAATGGACACAGGCCCTAAAAAGATTAAAACAAAAACTCAACCTAGAGTTTAAAAGTGCAACTTAAAGCTTAGCTGCTTATAAACTTTTTTGGTCAGAATGCAGTAGGATATGATGTGGAAATTGATGCATGATATTTTACTGTCAGAGCTGCACATATTTTTAGGTTTCAGTATAAGTATGAGCTCTGAAAAGTGCATTACTAAGTCTTTGTTGTTGTGAAATTTGAGATCTAGAAGAAATGTCATGAACTGGGTAAGCCTAGTACACAGATAAAAAGCTGTATTGTAACAGGGAAGCAAAGGTGAACATGGAAATCTGTTTATTCACCCTAAAAAAGGGGTTTGACTCTTATAGAAATTAATGTATACACATAATTGAATAGAAAAAGGCACCAAAAATAGGTTGTTACAAAGACTCTTCCGAGCAACTGCAGCATGCATCTTGAAGAAAACTCAGTGTAACTTTATTTCGATTAATATTTGCCCTCTGTCTGGAAACCTTTACAGCCATTTTAAGTTTTCTGCTTGAGCCAGGTTAAGGACTGACCTCTCTAGTCTCCTGAAGAAGTCCATATGATCCCACAGTATGTTTCTCTTGTTACCCCCCTTAGCCCTGGTATTCCCCTCCCAGTGCTTCCATATGGTGTGTCACTTCAACATGTGTCCACACTGACACTTTACACATGTGCCTCTGACCAATGGGATAAACATTCTCAGTAGGGCACCGATCTGGCTGCTGCTTTGGAGTCACTGAAGATTTCTGGGCTGTAATGACAGGACTCTAAGCAGACAGACATCATGTTCAAAGCCTCCTTCCTGCTACTGCTGGCCCTGCTCCTGAATGTTCAGCTATGCTTTACTGCACCAATATGTAAGCCATGCATTTTGATTTGAATCTTATTGCTGTTTCAGAAATGTTTATAATGCATGACTTGGAGAAAGAATATACATATCACTGTAGTTGTTTTTTTTTTTTAAATTAAATAGGATTACACCTTGATTTTAAGGCAGATCAATAATTTTACTAAGGGTTTACTGTTTAAAACATAAGTAGGTTACATAAAACCCAATATGATGTTCTGTGATATTTAAGATTTGGCTCCACATCGTGAAATACTCTAGAGTTAAACTCAGATTTAGAGATTTTTGTGCCATTTATTTTCTCAGATTTATTTTAGACAACTGATTTTTTTCTCAGCTACAGTCCACAAATATGCATAACCATGGAAGAGCATTAATATGTTGTTTTAAAAAAAGCAAACCTCTGGTCCTGGTTACATAATAGGCTGATTGTGAGTCAACAGTTTTCTAAGACAGGAAAAGTCAAATACAGCTTTAGGTGCCTTCAAGCTTTGAATAATAAAAATATGTTCAGTTTGGAAACTGACTCAGTCACCGAGGTAAATCGAGCATAATACTCCTGTGTCTGAATGCGTGGATGTTTGCAATAACCAAACTGAAAATACTTTTATGGGCTGTTTAATGGCATACCTGTTGTGTTAGTATACCATCCTGTGAGACATTTGGGCTAAAGCTGGATCGCTACTCATCCTCCACATTTATGTCATTTCACCGGGGATGTTGTTAACTGTTACAGGAATGGATCATCATCGTATTTGATGTTATTTTCAAGTACAAATGCTTTTCTTTGCTTTCCTGTCGTCCAAATTCATATTTACACCCAAGACATGTTCAGTCCTTTTTATAGATAAAAAAGTAAACACAGGGGCTTCACTTTGTATCACTGATGAAACGTAGGGCCCTAAAAATATAAAACATTGGAACACAAATGTTAAAATATATTTACTTGAAGCTACTGTTAAACTGATGGATATTGATATAACTGCCTCTTTATGATCTACAAAAGTGAACAAACCCATGTTATGATACTAATTATTTCCTTACAGTTATTTTTGATGTCTTATGTTGCTGGTGAGTGTAGGTGTCAGATGTATTGATTAATTGCACACCACTGAAACAACCCTTCTTATTCTTTATTTTTTTAATGTTAATCTGCAAAGATTCCCAATGAGTGTTAAGATTAAGGAGGATGAGATTCTTGGTCAGATTACACAGTTTACACATGAACTAGACATTTACAGGAAAAGGTGTTTGAATTTTTAAGAATTTAAGGGAGTAAATCGGGGATGAGTTGATTCACGGTAATGTAAATATTGGGTTTGTCTTTGTTTTATAAGTGTTTCCCCAAATCTCAATGCAATAAGTCATCATGTATGGCGTTATCAGGGTATGGTATAGATTGGCTAACCCTTTTTGTGAAAGTAAATCTTTGGCTTTATACAGAATGGCGATAGATAATTGCCCACTTAGTCCACAGGGGGCACCAAAATCAATGCCAAATGAAAGTGCCTCATTAGAGCTCTAAGCAACTTGAGTGCACCTTATGAAGTTCAAGGATGAAAGAAAGTTGTTGCTTTATTACTGACTTCTCTTATGAACTCTCACCAGTAGCTGAAGACCACACAGGCTTGAAAAAGGAGGATGGATCAGTTCAGGATGAACCCATTCCAGTTGTTGAAGAGGTAGCAGCTCCATTGCCTGAGGAATCACCTGCTAAAGAAAACATTCCAGTTATCACACAAGAAACCAAGGATGTGGTCCCTGATGACTCTGAAGAAGCCCAGGAATCAGCCCCTCAGGAGCCTTTGGCGGCAGCCTCAGAAGAATCCTCCGAAGAGGACACTATCCTGGTGGACGAGGCTTTAGCAGAGGCATCCCCAGAGGAAAATTCAGAGCAGCAGGCTCCAGAAGACCCAGGTCCAGAGGCACCGGTCATAGTCATACCTTTGGAAATTACTGAAGATGAAGCTCCGGAAGAAAATGCAGAGGAAGAAACTCCTGTTGTTGTAGATGATGCTACAGAAGATGAGTCTACAGAACAGCATGATCTGGAAGATCCAGCTTTGGTAGCTGTTGTTCCTGTGGATTCTTCAGAAGATCCAGAGGAGAATGCAGCTCCAGACCTTGCTCCTGTCGTCACTGATGATGATACCTCAGATGAAGAAGAATCTCTTCCTGCCACACTAGAAGAAGAGGCACCTGCTGTTGAAGAAACAGAGCCACAAGAGTTAGCCGAGGAAGACCTGGCTGGTATTGTTCCTTTGGATCCTGCTGAGGGAGATGCAGAGCCTGAAGAACAAGGCGGGGAAGAATCGATATCTGCTGTCATAGAGGAAGGTGAACCAGAAGAGTCAGTCCCAGAAGAACCGGCTTTAATTGTTCCTGTGGAACTTGATCAAGAGGAACAAGATGAAACAGTCCCAGTAGAACCAGAAGAACCAGTTGAACAAGTCATTGTTCCAGTAATCCCAGAGGAACAAGATGGAGAATTGGACTCTGTTCCTGTTGAAGAACCCCTCCCCAGTACATTAGATGAAGAGGAGGGAGAGGAAGACATATCTATTGCCCTCCTCCCCGAAGATCTTGAGACTGAGCAAGAGGGTCAAGAAGATCCTGCTGTTGAAGACACGGTACCTAAAGAGTCAGACAAAGAAGAACCAGTTGTGATTGTTCCTCTGGGCCCAGCCGAAGAGGAACCACAGCTGGAGGAAGATACTGAAGCGGAATTGATCCCTATAGTCTCCCCAGAGGAGCCAGAGGAAGAAGCTCCAGAGGAGGATACAGAAACAGAGGTTGCAGTGGTACCTGACCCTGATGTCCCAGAAGAGGACCCCACTGCTACTGAACCAGAAGAAGAGGAACCCATAATTCTTGTCCATGAAGGACTCGATACGTCAGAGGAAGTAACAGGTGAGGAAACAGCATCAGAAACACCTGCTGTGGTTCTTGTTGAACCAACTGATGAGGAAACCGCTCAAGAAGACCCGGTCCTCATCATTCCAGTAGAAGAGGAAACTCCAGAGGATGAAGATGTTGAATTAGAACCTGTCCCAGAAGAAGAAACAGATGAAGACACAGCTTCTGAAGAGACTGAGGTAGTGGATGACAGCGATGTAGAGGGACTTATCACAGTCACAGAAACCCCATCTGTGAATGAAACTGTAGAAGTAGATGAAGACCTCGGTGTGAACGTTTCCGTAGTCGTTCCTGAAATTATAACTGAATCCCCAGTTGACATTACCAGTGCCCCAAATGTCACTGATGCACAAGTAGACATCATTGAATACCCTCTGGACAGTGGAAACGCTACCACAAACAGGACATCTCTTGGAGATTTAAAAGCAGCAGCTATTTCCACCGAAGAAGAAACTGTGGGTAAGTAAAACACTCTCAGCCATCTTCGCTTTAGGGCCTATGTCCACTGACGGCAGTTTTTGTGCTTTTTCCCCACCTTAACCCACTCCAGTTTAGTGTTTTTAACTCTGTACCCTATCATTCTAGCCACAGTCACTTCTCCCTCAACAACCAGACAGAAATTGAGAAGGGTTGGATATCTACTCTGATAGATGAGAAACTTACAGAATTTTTTTAGGGTGCAATTTTTCGGGTTGGTTGCTGAACAGATGCAAATATTGAGCCTACAGGACAATTTAAAACAAGCTTTATGGTCAGGGAAGTGGACAGGCCATGGGACAAGCTTTCTTACTGAGCAACAGGCAAGAGGCGCTCTGGAATTGAAGTTGTGGATGCTGTGGGTGCAAAACATGTTGTCAGTGGGGACAGGCCCTTGGGAATTTCCTTGTGAACCAAGATGAAAGTTCATCTTATTGTCTTGTTCTATACATAAAAAAATTCCTGTACATTAATGTAACTGAATGTGAAAAGTCATATCAGTAAGAATCAATTATTAGTGTTAATTTCACTAACGACAGTTTTGGTGTTCCAGCTCTGGTGAATCGAGGGACGGTACTGGGCGCAGCATTCTTCACGCTGATGTCATTTATCGTTTTTGGATTTGTTTATACGACCGTAGTCAAGAAACTACGTTGAATACAAGTGAGTAATGCACGCCTTAATAGAACTTGTGTGATATAGTATGATACATGATTAAATAGTGGGAGCTGAAATTTATAGCAGACTTCAAACCATACCAGTACCACCATTACTGACTTTATAAACTGGACTAATATGGGGTTTAAACTGGCTGTGATTAAAGGAAATGTTCTGTTTTGAAGTGCAGTTGAGTGCTTTCTTAACAAAAGACCGAGTTGACAAGTACCTCATACAACCCAGAACTATCCCCATAGTGTGGGTATTACTACAAAATTTATGATATTAATTCTATTTACAAATTGGGAATAAAGTGAATTTTTGAAGACTCAGTTTAACTGCTGTGAAGTTGAGAGCTGGCGTCTGATGATGAGCGTCTGCAGGGGTTGTTTAGTTCCATAATATAGCACACAGTAACCCCATTTAAGGTTTCATTTAACATGGCACTCATAGCTCTGAAATAAATCTGAATTTAAGATAATTGCCGACCATAATAAGGCAAGTAAAACTTTTGTATCTTGCCACTTGCTGTTCATTCAAGCCAGATTTCACGAGGCTCCAGAATATTGTCTGACATTTGCACTTCTCTTTATTTCTCTTGCTCAAGGACGATGAAGTCAATTCATTTATAAATGGATCAGCTGTTTGAAGAAAAAGAAATGAAACTCTCAACACCGAGTTTCTCTGCGCTGGATCTTTTCTCGAGAAGAGATCACTCAAGGGGATTCACTGGTTTCTCCCAAATTTGTACCGTGTGAAGGTCAACTGGAAACCACAGGTGGAAGTTTTCAGACTATGTACTTCATTAAAGCAAGAGTGCCTCACGATGAAAGGCCTTATTCATATTTTTACATAGGTAGAGATATGTAAGATCTTTCAGTGATTTATTCATTTATTAACAGAGGTATCAGTGCAGATCCAGCTGGATTAAAGTTGCCTTGTAAAGCTTTGTTGCGGACAAAGAAAAAGTTATTTTTTACCTTCAGTATGTCTCACCAGAATGCATTTTGTGAGGTCTAATGGTCTTAATTACATTACCTGGAGGGTTAATTTGGTAAATATTTAAAATCTGTATTAAATCCAAGTTAATGTGCTTGCTGGTATTTATGTAAACACCTCTGTGCTTTGAGTGTTACCACAACCAACTATCAGCATAGAAACATCGTAAAGTAGCACGACTGGTGGTTGTAACTCTTCGGTGTAACTTTAAACTTAAAGAAATGCATTGCTGATTGTAAACAACGACAAGTGTTAAGTACATGGAAGCTGTACTTAAGCGTATACAGAAGAGATGTACCTTCACACTGGTGCTTTGGCACATTTTCCTCCCAAATGATGTAACTTTTGAAGTGAAAGTGACTGTTTAAGGATGTTAATGATGGTGTTAAGATCTTAGACCTTCTGGATGATGAAAACTTTGATGTGTCTGTGATTTTACCCGCTGATTTCTCTTGTTTATTTTCTTTCCTGCGATTGTTGAGTCGAATCTCTGTGTGACAAATACTCTGTGGGTACATTATGTACATTTCCATTGCCCCCCTGATTCCCACACACACACACACACACACATACCCTGGTCCACCACATGCATGGAAAAGCACACGACGCATACGTGCTGTTTAAGAGCCAAGACGACCTATCACTTTTCCTGTACTGTCATGCAGCATGAGACGCAGAGCTCTCCTATATCAACCACTCGTTGGCATGCTGCTGCACCAGCTATATGGCTCATCCTGCACATAGTCAATATTTTTAGGATGGTGAAGAGGACATCGTGTTCCTAATGACGCCTTTAAAAGGTGGTCTGCATTAAACCATACCCCATTTCAGTTTCTCATTGTAATTGTTTTATGTTTTAATTGCACTTGTTGTAAAGAGCCTGTATAAAATAAATGCTGATTTACAAGAGCCGGGAGTGATGATTCAGAATCAGCTAACTTTTAGGACACATTATTACTTTGATTATTTTTTACATACACATTAAGATTTCTTCACACACTTATGAAATCAAGGACAAAGCTTATGTAACACACCAGCTGATAAAACCTTTGGTAGGAAACACTTTATGCCGACAGCCTATTTACTGTGTGAACTCAGCGTCACATTATGTCTCAGCACTTTTATGTACGTATACAAGCAGCACTAGTATCGATTTCTCCAGAATCTCTAACAGCCTTTCTGTTTTCAGAGGACATATATGTTGTATAATTGAAAGTATGGGTAGAGGTTCTCTCTGATATCTGAAGGAAGTGTCTTTGTCATTAAAACCTGATGATCTTTGTGGCTCTACAGCACCAAAAGTCCTCACTTATTGATCCATTATTTCAAAATTCATGTGAAGTCTGATACACCTTTGATGCTCACAGTCTCCTTGTAGATCATTATGGTCTGTTTTTTGATCATTGTGTCTGTTGTCTGATTAATATATATCAAAGCAAGAACATCAATATCTACACCGGCCTTCTTTGAGTATAATTCCTCACAGGTATTCATGGACTTGAAATAATTCTGTTGTAGTTAAAGGACAGGATCAAAATCCTTCAAAGTGTGTCATATAATCAAAGCCAGATATCCCATTTGGACACTGATACTTATATCCCGCTGTAACTATCACTCCTGTTGAACTGGTCATAAACATGTGTCTTCTGATGTGCTTTCAGGTGAGGAGATGTTGAAACTAAATCTGAAGATCTGCTTTTGTACTAAAACATATTCCTGAGTTAACTGATTAGTGACAGGCGTATGAAATAGGCTATCAGTTTTCCCACAGTACACCCTTAGTGTCTAATTTATTGATCTGAAGCCTCATGTCAACAACAGGATAACTTTTGGACACATTTAAGGCCAGCGAGTTTTGTAACCTCCATACAACAACAAGGCATGGATGAATAATTTACAAACACTCTAGTAGCTGGAAAAGTCTTGAAAATTTGTAAAACCTGGCATGATTTGTTCAAGAACACTTGTAATGAATGGAAATCCCAATATAGGACATGAAAAGTGAACTGCCTTTGAAAAAAACAGAACAGCCTGTTAAAGCCGTCAGTGTGACGGACATGTGAAGGTCATCAGGGTGGAGCAGGAGTGGAGGAATTTGGTACTGCTTGAGGAGCCGTGCTGAGAGCTTGTGAAAAAGGGGAAGGGTGTCAGCACAGCTGGTTGAGAGAACTGAAGTTACAGAGATTTAAAAAACACAATTGGTGCGTAATGAGAGGTAAAAGCATTACTGGAATATACTGTTGTGAAATAAAAATGGGAAACCCAAAACAAACAAATGAAAAAGAAGAAAAGAATAACTGTGTCAATTCTGCTCTGTCCCTGAAAAACTGCTTTAACCTGAAGAGGAGCCGGTCTGTTTCTGGTAGCACAGCGGCATCTAGTGGCCAAAGACTCTACCTGTAGGAAACAACAACCAGCAACCCCAAAGAGAACTGAAATTCTGTATTTGTTACATGAGTGGGTACTTTAGTTACCATATATTAAACAGGACCTGATTGCTACAGATAATTTTTCATGTTTTAGTACTTGTTTTACTCTCTGCCAAACAATATAAAAGTGGAAACCAGGAAAGGTTAAACTTTATCTGTCAGACTGTAAAAGCAGCCCAAGTATGGTTGACTGTTTTATATTTCTGAACATTTGTACATCATATTTTCACTAAAATTATGAAGACTTTGGCAGGTACTTCATTACAACACACCTCCTTGTCTCTTTATTTAAATATTCAATTGTTAATAACCTTAAAAATGTAAAATCATATTCAGAAGGATGCCAAGTCAACGAAAAAGTAGACCTTGTGAAACTACAAGATGTTTCATTTATGTATAGATTTATTGGGTGTCTGCTGTCTTGCACTGCAAAAACAACAGTCCATGCATGTACACGTGCACTGCGTTACTTTTTGACTCTGAAATCTTAGTAATAAAAAACAGTAATGTTTCTTTTCCCCTGGTTTTTCTGATTGTTGTACATCATGTATTTATACACAGTATTACCAAGATAACAGAGTGTCTTATACATGTTGGCTTCTTCTTCTGGACATCATGTTCCCATAAGTTCTGAACAAAACTGAACATCTTAAATATACTGACCAATATTGTTCAGTACTCCATGACTGTTTTAAGGGTTCTGTATAAAATGATTTATTCACTCATTTTAAGGATCATTAATTTCACCTATTAATTCAAGTGTACAGTCATTTTGGAGCACGCTGTGCTGCTAAACTTTATTTTCTTATACTGCAGCTGTTATTTCATTTACCACATAGGGATCAATGGGTGAAGTTTATAGACCAAAGAAAATAATGCAGTAGAATTCAGCAGCACTGATTAACTTGGAAAAAACTGATCATCGTTATATAAGAGCATTTTTAGTATTGGATAAACTGTCATCAGCTCTTTTCACTCATGCCATACTGAAATTTTAGGGCAGCCTGCTGCATCCTTGAAGTTTCATACAGTTGCTAATTCACACACGTCGAAGCATGAAGTTTCTCTGTTGGACGAGAGGGGGACATGTTTCAGAATGCAGAACATGGTGTAAGGAGAGGACGCTGCTGGGGCACTGTTGGCGTACTGGTTTATGTGTGCGTCCCATCCTCTACAAATAAAAGCATAAAAGCCTTAAAAAAGATGCGGCTGCAGTCACCTTGCGCTGTTTACAAGAAAGCCAAGATGGCTGACAAAGCAGACTCCAACGCCATTATGACAGTTAACAGCAGACTGGAATATAACATGCAGGCAAGCAGAAAAGTGTATAAAGCAGCTTCGTCTCATACGCAAAGCTTGGACCCATGAAGTAAACAACATCACCCCTGCTCAGTTGCTTGTGTTTACTTTTACTGGCTGCATTCACACATCGTCCTAAGATAAGATAAGATGTTCCTTTAATCGTCCCACAGGGGAAAATTCAAAAATTACAACAGCATAATATAGATTCCAAAAGACAAAAATTAAAAGATAAAGAAACTTTGAGTTAAAACAAGATATGTGCATGTGTCCTACCCAACTTCTTGAGAAAATTTTATGAGGAAGCTACAGGTTACAAGTTTTTGCACTCACACATGCAACTCAGCCCGAAAATTTCAGGACACTTTCAGGAGTTAAGTAATGCGTGAATACAACTTTTTGGAATAAATAAATCTGAGTATTAGCATCATTGTAAATGGCAGTAACTTCAGACATAAACAAAAACTGTGTCACATCTTAAATAATCAAGTTTTCTCTTTGGTTGTCTCCACATTTCAGAGACTAAACTGAGACATGTTGTCCAACCTTCTTTATTCCCTGTTAGACATATTTTAAATCCTCTATTGTTTGTTTCCATGTTTTTTATCATAGGAGTAAATTATCTTGATAAAACAGAATTGTTACACTGACTTAATTCATACTAGAACATAGAAATACGTTTTTGGAGAGGGGTGGGAGGTTATCTTTTTTTCTCTCTGTTTTTTTTTTTTAAGTCAGGTCACATAACTTTTACTGATGAGAAAGAAGTTATCGGAGTGTCAGTGTGTAAACAAAAACACCCACCATCTTCAGGAGTAGACTAAATCAAGTAAATGATTTCACATTAAGGATATTCAAACATTAAATTAATGCCTCCCAGTCTGTATTTAAGACACACATCTTTAATAATCTAGTTTTCTCTTTGGTTGTCTCCACATTTCAGAAACTAAACTAATACATTTCTTTTTAACCTGTGCTCTATATTCACTCTTAGAAATATTTTAAATCCTCTAGTGTTTGTTTCCAAGTTCTTTATCATAAGAGTGAATTATCTTGATAAAACAGAATTGTTACTCTGAGTTAATTCATATTAGAACAAAGAGATAACGTTTTTATAGAGGATGGGGGGTTATTCTTTTTTCTGTTTTTTAAACTCAGGTCACATAACTTTTACTGATTAGATAGAAGTTCTCTGAGTGTCAGTGTGTAAACAAAAACACCCACCAGCTTCAGGGGTAGACTATTTCGAGTAAATAATTTCAGATTTAGGACATTTAAACATTAAATTAATGCCTCCCAGTCGGTATTTTCTTCTTTTATTGAGTTCTTTTTGCTCTTCAAGGATGCACAGATGGCTGCAGCCTACAGGCCCACTCTGCTCACAGATGAATCTGAGTAAGGTACTTAATTGGCATGGATTCACGTCAGGCTGCACTGTGTGTGGACAGGACCGGCGGACCCACCGGCTGCAAGAGAGGAACACCAGGAAGACCCCATCGTCTACAAAAGCCTCCTTTCTGCCTCACATTACTGCCCCATCGCTGTGTGTGAGTGTGTGTATGTGTGTGTGTATGTGTGTGTGTGTGTTCGCACGGGTCTGACAGGCTGCCTCTCCCCAACTCCACTACAACCACGATCCGAGTTACAGAGGAGGCTGCCGACTCAAGCCTCCATCCGCCATTTTCAGCAGATTGGAGGCAGGTAGAGCACAAAAATCACAAGTCCCCGCTCAGATACAGCAGGTAAGTGCGCGTGAGTGTAGCCTAGACCCAAATTGAACCCCACGGCAGGCAACATTTAGGGAGAAAAAGGCTGCAGCCACCTTACTCCGGCCAGCATCGGGAGGAACAAGGAGAGGACGGTTTGCCTACAAGGGTAACAATAAACTGCATCCTTCAGGCGCTGTATGCTTCACATATCCGGCAATTTAGTTGTCTTTTGTGAACTTTTTCTCAGGAAAACGCTTTAAAATGATCTTTGCGCACGCACACTTGCACACGCCCACGTTAAAATCTCTCAATTTGTTGCTTGAACTTCAGCTAAGGGGTTTAAAAATGTCTGATCACAACTCCAGCAGCAGCAGCAGCAGCGGATTAAAATTGAGCCTAAATGAACCGGTCAGTAAAAAGTTTAAACATTTCTTGTTTTATTTCTAAAGGATGTAAAAGCCTGACTACCAAAAAAAAAGAAGACAAAGACAATGAGCTGTATTGTTTGTCCTAGCTTTGTCATTTCAATGCCTTTTGCATAACCCTAAAGCATCATCAAGTGAAGTTGGAGTCATTATGTCCAAAGATGTGCTCCTGAAGTGTGTGAAATATTTGTGTGTTAATGGATTCAGTGTGTGTGAACACATGGGTCAGCTCATTGTGCTGCTGAACAATTGGCTTTTCTGCCAGTTGGGACAAAAAGCAAGTAACTAAAGCACAGGAAACGCCTATGGTGAAAACATCTACACAAATCAGTGTGGGTTATCGCATGAAAACTATTAGTCTGTTTATTAATTGGGTAAAAAGACATATTGACTGTTCTGATTAATCAATAATCTGAGCAACGATGGTTACTAATTCAAGCTCTTTTATATGCACAGATTTTCTGTTCTCCCTCTCATACCACGGAAACATAATTTTATCTTAAAAACTTGATTTACAGGCTTTTCTGTGCTTTAAACCAGGGTTGTCCAGAATTAAAATACATTCATCTTGTGTCAATGACACAACGGGGATTAAGTCAATAATCCAAAAGATGGGAATGACAGTCAGTGGTATGGAAGATTTTGGACTTGCCTGATCCGGTTTTATCTCTAGGTTTTTGTTTTGGGTTTTCAGACAACAAAAGAAATTTCCCGACTCTAAGGCTTGGCCTAGCAGTTAATGATTTATTAATTGGGATAAATTTGTGATGAAGTTACCATGGGGTTAACCTGTAGACTAACAAATCATGATGGGGGACATTATTTTCTGCCCCTAAAATCAGCCCGCTTTAATTCCTTGTCAAGTCTTCTTGTTTGCTATACTTGTAAAAATAGATTCAGGCCTTTTAACATAAACATTTTCTTGTCTCTCTGTGATGGCTCAACATTTCAACTTCACTGGAGTCTGTGTTTCTGCGCAGACACATCACTCTTGTCATGTTTTTAATGTAGGAAAAGGAATGCTACAGCGATAAGTCCTTGTAAAAGTTGATTGTATCTGGTGTCATGGCTGAGTTTTGTGCGAGCTGTTGCCCTCACAGACTGACTTTGTTTTGAGAGCGTTTATTCAAGAGTGTTGCTGTCTTTGAACTGCTTTCTTTGCTCTTTATTTATAGTCTATGTGAGAGCAGTCCATAAAGGCTCGGTGCCCACGACATTGTGGAAACCTATTGCGACAGGTAAAGCGAGGCTATTGTTGTCTAATTGTGTTTTATATATCTGCTAATTTTGATGACAGTCAGTCTTATTTTTTTATTCATTTTAGATCATGGCTATAACTGGTGGGACAGTGGAGAGTCTGGAAGAAATTCCAGCTCATGTTTGGAAGGGTGTACCAGATTGTTTGAGTCTGGGTCCTTCTGCTATAAATCAGAACCGTATTGGTGAGTATGTATGTGTCTCTAGTTATTGCAAGGAAGTTTGGCTGAAGCAATCAGTCATTTTTAAAGGTTACATTATTTTCTATTACGCCTAAAACATATTTATTTCTTAAGCCTTTCATTAATTAATAGTGTGCCTGCAAATCCCCTGTGATTAAGATTAGATAAGATATTCCGTTTAATAGTCCCACAGGGGGAAATTCCAATTTAGAGCAGCATAAATACAGATACAAAAAGAGAAATTAGAGGATAAAGAAACTTGGAGTTAAAAAAAGAAATATATATGAGTCTGTTTACAGAATATACATATAAATATGATTTATTGCACACTGAGGTTTCTGTTGTGGAGTCTGACAGCTGCAGGAAGGAATGACTGAGATACCTCTCTGTCACACACTTCGGGTGGAGCATCCTGTCCCTAAAGGAGCTCCTCAGTGCAGTGAGTGTGTGTTGGAGGGGATGAGTCTCCACAGATTAGACTTTAATTTTACTGTGACTTTAGAGGATTTTTGTGGACACAAATACAAGAAAAAAAGCATAGAGAAAAGGACAAATAAACAAATGTACGTAGCTAAAAGTGATTGAAATTAAATCTAAAGCAATTACATCACAGTGCAGACAAAATAAAAGGATGTCCAATTGAATATCTCACTCAATTCACAAACAAGCCTCTTCTGGTAAATATTCAATTACTACTGAAAGAGAGTAATTTTCATTTAAACAAAATAGCAACATTATCCTTCTGTGCTGTTTTTTCTTAATATTGTAGAGAGCTGATTACAGAAATCATGCAGGGATATTCAATATTTCAATGTAAATCATAGTCAAATGTTTTTGAGAATTGACTTATTATGAGATCTGTCCCACTGGTCTCCAGTTTAACATACTGTAAATTGCAGTTAAAAGACATGGTTTACCTACTTTTCCTTTTTAAACAGTAAAATCCCAGACATGAAAAACCATAAATGCCAATTCTAAGCATCTATATCATATGCAAAATTCACTACGGTTAAAATAGAACATACTTGAGGACAGTTTTCTCGGCAGAGGCACATCAATTTATCCAAAGACCGTGGATAGATTTCTTCAAACTTAACGTACACATTACGTGCTTCAGAAGTTTATAAATCTTATTGTAACAGCTTATGGTTTTCAGGTGTATGGGCCACTCAGGAAATTCCTAAAGGGAAGAGGTTTGGCCCGTTTGTTGGAGAGAAGAAGAAGAGGTCCCAGGTGACAAGTAATGTCTACATGTGGGAGGTATGTCACAGGTTGGGTTCAATATACTTAACCTGCCTCAGTGCATAAATGAATCAGGCTGAATCTAGCCCAACTCAGCTCTGTGCCAATTGCAGTTTGTATTCCAATAACAAGAGCATAACCCACATATAAGATGTGATGTACCCTGTAAGAGCTGTATGATTAATCAGCTCAGACTGTTGAGGAACAACAGAGGGTGTGCTATGGAGCAAGATTAATTGGTAAGAAAAGTAAGTTGTGCTCAAGGGCAGACTTTACAGCTTTATGGATCTCCTTAAAACTGGCTTGATTGCTATGGTAACGTATGCTGCACACCCTAATGTTCAGAGTATGAAATGTAATATCCTTTCATGAATTAATGTCATACAACACTCCATGTAAATTTATATTAGAAAGCTCAACTTGTACATTATCAAGACGATAATGTTAAGCTGTGTCACTACATTTGTAATGCCTCAGACTTGCAGCTACAGCAGACGAATAGTATCTCATGAGAGGAAGCTGCTTGCAGTCTGTTGGTAATTACTTATAAAAACCCGTTGGGACTATGATAGGTTGTGATTTGCTGTGCTTGATTTGCAGCTACAAAGCTGATTACCATTTTTTTATATATGAAATTTGATTGACAATTATCACAGTGTCTTAGTCAATCAATGAAAATAATTTTGCCTTCAACTGGAAAAGTGTTTTTTTGCCAGACCGAGCAATTCCTGACTGACTGGCTGAAACTATCTGTAACTATAATGGTTAAAGTTTCAGAGCCCCACACAAGAGGCCTTGAAGGCACATTGATGTGAAAGAATGTTTAAGTTAGAGGATTACATAAGTAATTATTTTGCAAGCATCCCTCACTTGTCGTTTCTGTATTAGTAATGTCGTAGTTACAGGAATAACTTGCCATGCTGTGTTCTCTCTTCTCCTTTTTCTGTTCTGAGAAAGAGACTGACGATGGTTTTAGGTTTTGCTAGTTTACTCAAAGTCAACTTGTTTGTAGTACACCACTCTGCTGCTTCAGAGAGAAATGTAAAAACCTTTTCTATCTACTAGCAATGACGAATGCTGCTGACTATCCAGGCTCACTTTTAGGTTAAGATGACCCCCATTTAGTGTTCAAGTACAGCCTTGACCTTTATTCATATACAGTCGTTTTACCTACAGGTTTATTTCCCAACACGGGGTTGGATGTGTGTCGACGCAACAGACCCCATGAAAGGAAACTGGCTGCGATATGTGAACTGGGCGCGCTCCAGTGAAGAGCAGAACCTTTTCCCTTTGGAGATCAACAGAGCCATTTACTACAAGGTTTTGAGGGTAGGTTAAACACATTAAACAGTCCTTATGACAACTACTCACTTTCAAGACACAGACTGCATTATGGTAAATACGTTCAGAATTGTCTTGTGGTTTTGGGATTATGTCACTGCATGCTCTATGTCATTAAAGGGATATTGCAGCGTAAAATTAATTTAGGGTGAAACACATCGCAACACTGAGTTAGACACCCCCCCGAGAGATGAATTTTGCCGACCGCTTGTTTCTCTAGTTATACCAACTTTAGTAACAACCACATGGTAGTAATACAGAGAGCCATGCGCTCAACCGAAAAGCCACTCTAAAGCCACAAATACTTCAGTACATATAGGGTCCCAGCCGCAGCACTAGCCACCAAACATCTTTTTATCTTTGCCTAATTTCTTTAGCAAAGAGACTAAACACAACTCACCCACTCTCCTCCAGCAGCTGCTTGTTTGTAGCGAGACAGAGACCTCCAGACGACTGCAGCAGGGTGACACACCTCAAGGAACAACATTTATGATCATTTTTTCATGGAGATGCAATCAGACCGAGACGCTGAGGCAGAAGAACTACCGCGCCTTAAGTGCAAAATGAGTAATATGATGATTAATACTTCAAGGAAACGATAAAGAAATTATCATAAATGTTCTTCCTTGAGCTGCATCACCACTATGGCCACTATAGAGTGGCGTTTTGGTTGAGGTTTGTTTATGGCTCCTCAGACCACTGTGTTTTGCTATCATGCGGTCGTTACTAAAGTTGGTATAACTAAAGGAGCAAGCAGTCGACAACATTCATCTCTGGAGGGGATGTCTAACTTGGTGTTACAGTGTGTTTGGACCCTAAATTAATTAATATCCCTTTAATGTTTATAAGTTCTTTAGGTCTTCAAAGGCCAATATGCTCTAAGGATGTTATTAAACATATTTAAAATATCCCACCCACCTGAAATTATAGAAATACCTTTCAATAAAGTGTAGTTTGAGCAAACTTCAACATCAGTTGTCAATTAATACCCCCGACATTGTCAGTCAAAACTGAGCATTCTTGGTAAAATGTAAAAAAGTGAGAATTACATGCTAAACTGTAGTGAAACATTTGTTTTAAGATTGTTAAGATGTTCCTATTAATGTATTAAGAGAACAAACACTTATACTGCACACATTATTCACACCCCTACAAACTCAACCAGCTGCTTTTAATAAATGAGTAATATATTAGCCATTCTTATGTTGCTTGGTATAAGGGGTGAACAAGAGATTATAAGATTTTAAAATCAAGATGACTGTCTTAGAAAGCATTAGATAACTAAATTAGAATCAGAGGAGGTTTTAGGTTTTATACTGGTTACTATATCCCGACCAAGTGTGCCATTGTGGAGACACTGCAGACTATGGTGAAAAGACAGACAAATTCCATAAGCCCCCAAGCCCTTAGTGTAGACAGATAAGATGCACAGTGGCCCAAATATTCCCCCCTGCCTCTCAGCAAGCCAGGCTGTGATTGGTGGGCGACCTCATCTCTCATTGTTGCAGCCTATCGGGCCGGGAGAAGAGCTGCTGGTGTGGTACACTGTGGAAGACAACCCTGAGATAACAGCTGCACTGGAGGAAGAAAGAACCAGCAGTCTGAGCAGGAAAAACTCACCCAGGGCGAAGCGAGGTGAGGCCTTTCTTTGCAGCCGAGATGATATTTCTGTTTGAGGTATAATTTCTTCTACGTGCGGCTCTCAGACGCCGCGCTAAGGTTGCGCTCAGATGTGGATTTGTCTTGCAGCCTGGAGTCGAAGTTGTAACTGGCGAGCTAACTAGCTAGGAAGGCTAGTGGCGGCTAACGTTAACGGTTGCGATGAGTGTGGCTGTTCCCTTACTTCCACACACACACACACGACCTAAAACCAGTCACGTTTAGCGCCTGCTATACTGAATTGCGACCAATTGGCGAACCTATTGTCGGAAAACATAGTGTTCGACTCGTATATTAGCGGTTGAACAACTTTTCGAGCAGCTTTTCCTCCTCTGGGTCCGGACGTTGTCGAGGATGTGACCTTCCTTGAGTTTCATCCATCCGCGAGCCTCTCTCTCTCGAGCTGCTTGATGGTGGCCTAGCGTGTTAGCTAACTAGCCAGCTTCCTCATCCAACTGTAAGCTGACTATAATACACGTAACTAACAAAGTACGAATGTAAAGGAGTTGTACGTTGCGTATATTGTATAACATTTCCCTTTAGCGTCCCTCTGTGTCCAGAATAACCAGTTCATCGAGTTGTCAGAGTTGGTGTTACATGCTAGCTAAGGCTAAACGGCTAGGTCTGAACTCACGGACATCCCGGTGTACAGGAGCAGATGGTGAACTGTTCGTTGTAGTTTTGACTAAAAACAGTATTTTTGACATGTTTTATAGAGTTCTAATAAAAGGGATTTCGCGATGATAGTGTAACAGTGACGTTTCCAAGCGTTAACATTTCGGACCATCAGATCCTAATAAAGGAGTGTCGAAAACAACAAAAATTAAAGAAACGCCTTTTGTTTTTCGTTAAGTTAATAGTACATGAAAGTAAGGGATCAACTTGTTGTCAAGTCCATAATCACGGCTGCTAAACTTCACAATTACATCTGCGACAATGAACTTTGGACATAGTGTTTCCATGTTGTGTATCACAATGTGGCACCATGACAAGAGGCAGATTCAGATATATGTCTCTTAAATGTTAATATATTTGATCTGATCCTTCTGTTTTTGATTCTTCTTATTTTAATCTATCATCCCCGAATCTCTGAAACATTAAAATACACTGGCCAGCCACAACAGTATGTTAATCTGAGCAGCCTAATGCGCCACATTACTGCGGTATAGTGGAATACAATATATCTGAAGGCTCTCCTCGTGTTTTGCTTCGCTCATGTTTGTTGGACAAAGTAATTTGAGGAGCACTCTTCAATATAATGTACTCCAGTATACCATTTCCACCCACAACAGCTTCAACAATTAAATAACAGTTTGAATTTGAGTTTCAGGAGAGCCCCTTAAAGTGCAGCATCTCATTTACTAAGGGGTCCAAAAGATGTAAATAAGGTTATAGCAGGTTGGTGTGTCTGATCTGATCTTGTCTAGTTTTGATGCTTCTTTTTTCACAAGTCTTCCCCACTTCTCTGGTGTAAAGAAATAAAGAGGCATTGTGCACAGTTTACAGGTGATGGTAGACATAGATTAAACATTTTATTTTAATGTTCCTCAGTGAACTGAATCTTTGTTTTGGTACAATTAAAATGAACTTCCCTAAGTTGAAAAAGGGTGGCTGGGATCCACTATTGATGCCTTTTATATTTCTAAATAGTCATTGTATTTAAATGTTCAGACCTGCTGTCAAATGCTGAATTTCTCAGGAGGGGAGCATTTTTAAATTTCTGGGAGTAGACTGCAACACATCATCTTTCTGTGCTGCAGAGTTGTGACTTTTGTAGCCGCCTACTGCAAAGTCAGCCTCGATGAAAATAGCCTAGCTATTCTGTTTTTAATATCTAACATCATGCACATTGAATGTGTTCTTGTCTGGTGACTGCTTCATAGAAAATTATGTAATAGGTAGGTTAAGCCTTAAAATGCTTGTGCTGTTAAATAAAGGGGAGGTGAAAGTGTACTTGCTTTGCTGTTGCAGGTTTAGCAGAATGTCTTTTTAGAAGAGCTAGTCAGATGACTGACCTACAGCATGTGTTTCTCTGGTATGAATTAGGCTTTGTAGGCTAGGTCAGGTGACCTTGTTGACACACTCAAATGATGAGGAGGTGCCAGGGAAGCCTCTTGAGTTAGGCAAGGGTTAGAAATTCAAAGTATTCTTATGCTAGTTAGTTTCATGCTTATGCTAATGAAACCCCATTATATTAAATGCAAAAATGAAGCTGCATCATTCAATAGAGTTAGGTTGTCAATTAATTTGTGTTTGGTATTTTGGTATTATGCTCTAATAGACACAGCCTTTTTTACCATGTACTGATGTAAATGGATTATTTGGATCATTGTTAAGCAAGAATATGGTCATAAAATATTTGTAAATAGGAGAAGCAGTAGGTGTTTGGATAAACCAACATCAGTGTTTACCTTTTGTACTTTGAAAACAGTGTTTGTTCTCCATCAAGCCTGATGCAAAGAAATTTGTGTTTGTTCTTGCAGCCAGGAAAAAGCTGCTGGAGAGAGCCAGACAGGCTGGTTTGGGTGGATTCAAGAAAACAAGTGTAACCGAACCTACTGTCAAGGAGATGTGGGATGGGGAAGACGGTAAGATGACTTACTGTTAAAGACATTTGCATATCTGCATATTGGCATTTTCAACCCACTCTGTAACTTAACATTTCCCAGGTTTTTGTCATTATGTCAAGAGAGTCAGCTGCTACTCAAGCTTGTGTAATAGTCTGATGTGAAAAGACTTATTTTGTTCTTCATGATCAAATTTTTTAGGCCTGAAGGAGGGAGATGAAAGGACATCAGCTTTCAGGCCCTCACAGGAACTCCAGGAAACCCATCCCACGAGAAGCACTAACTATAAAAATGAGAGGGACAAGTCAGCAGTAATGGCAGACAGAGGAAATGGTGAGCAGGAGGAAGATGAGGAAGACGAAGAAGAGGAGGATGCTGATGACCTGCAGGATCCAAGGGAAGTAAATCAGCAAACTGCTCAGCATTCCCCAGCGCCTGATTTCATGCAGAACAACTTGACAAGTGGCGAGGAGAGCCATAAGGGTTGGCAGGGAAATGTTAAGTCTTCCTCACTTGCAGGGCAAGAACTAGAGGTTGACCCTGACCTGGACCTAGATCCTGACCAAGATGGTGATCCTGAGGCAGATCCAAATGGAGAGTCATTTCCCTGTCAGCACTGTGAGCGCCACTTCTCCACTAGGCAGGGTCTAGAACGTCACAATCACATTCATGCTATAACTAACCAGCAAACACAACTGTTCAAGTGCCGGTACTGCAGTAAGTCGTTTGGTTCACAGGTGGGAAGGCGGAGGCATGAGAGGAGGCATGAGAGTGGGCCTAAAAAAAGGCCTGGCTCCCTGGCTGGGACTGCCAGTTTACTCAGTCCGGTGTTGCAGACTGATGGCTCAAGTCCAGACTGCACCAGCCCAACAACTCAGTATATAGCCATAGGGTCTCAGTTTACTGGGGGAGTATCTCAGTTTCCTGGAGGAGCTCTGCACAACTCTGAGGTACAGAGAAAGGAGCTTCACATCGACCGTCCCTTTGTGTTGGATGAAAACGGGGAGTCTAAGGAACTCCATCCTTGCAAGTACTGCAACAAAGCATTTGGCACACACACCAACATGCGCAGACACCAACGCAGAATACACGAACGACACTTGTTACCAAAGGGTGTCCGCAGGAAAGGCATGCTGCTCCAAGAAGCCTCGGCACCGCAGCAACCCGATGAGTCCCCAAGCACCAGCCCTCCGCCTGTCTACGTGCCCAGTGCAGACACAGAGGATGAGGCCGATAGAGATGATTACGCTGTGGACATATCCAAAAATATCTCAGAGAATTTGAGCTTTTACATCGATGGTAAAATTGTCTCCACCAGTACAGTGAGCAGCTGTGAGGTGATAGAGGTGGACTCTAGATCTGCCGCTCTATTTGGTCTAGACACAGTCATCATTAGTCCAAATCAGATCAACCAGGCTCTAAAAGTGGAGGGCAGAACCGCTGCTGTAAAGCAAGTGTCTAACATTGGTCAGCCAGCTGCAAAAAGAAGAACATCTACACCCCCACTTGTCCCCAGCCTGAAAGTGGAAACAGAAACGTCATCTTTCACGGCCTCTTCATCGTCTTCATCATCCTCTACATCTTCCTCGTCTAACTTGTTAGTGGGAGGACTCTTCCAGCAGGCTGCAGATTCGTCAGCGTTTCAACGAGAGAAAACTGTTTATCTCTCCCCCAAGCTGAAGCAGCTTCTACAGACCCAAGACATCCAGAAATCAACCATCACCCTGATAACAGAAAGCCATAGACTGGCCTCACCGCTGTCAGTCACGCCGATGCCAGGAGTTTCAGGGAGGTTTAAAAGGAGGACAGCCTCTCCTCCATCTTCTCCACAGCTCAGTCCTGCGTGTAAGACAGAGAGCTGTAAAACCGAGGTCTCAAGCTCGTTCACCCTGAAGGTGCCAAAGGTAGAGAGCCGCAGCGCGTCCCCCCCTGGGAGCCTCCTGGACAAGGAAGATGGAGACAGCCTGAGCCTTCCTGGAAATAATTTTCAAAGCCAATCTTCCAGCAGTGGGGGCAACGCTTGCAATCAGCAGCCCTTGGATCTGTCGAGTTCTGTGGGCAGGAGGAGTGACAGTTTGAACAAGGTGCTGGGGGATTCGGCTCTTGATTTAAGCTTTCATCGGAAGAGCAACGTGGAGGCTGAATTAAAGGGAACTTCAACACCGCAGCCGCTGGTTAAAAAGAGAAAGCCTAACACCAGCATGCTTGAAAAGGTACTGATGAATGAGTATGTGGGTCTTCCGTTGCAGGGAGAGGACAGCTCTTCACCTTTAGCGAATCTTAGTTGTTTTAATTCTCATTCTCCAAACGTCATGTCGGAGTCTGACAGAGCTCACCCCTCCCCGCCCCCTCTGACCCCTGTGACCATGAACCCCTCCTCCCCTGGAACATCCAGCGTGACATCTCCGACACCGCCTCCCCCTGTACTACCGACTATACCCTCCCCTCCACCTATGCCTAGCTCTCCACTTTCTCACCCCTCGGACTCCTCTGTACTGAGACCACTTCCTGTCCTCTCGCCAAAAATGTCTCCGAGATCAGATGAACTCAAGCTCCAGCCAGACTCAGAGGAGAGTATGTTAGTTGTAGAAAACAAAAACGAGGAAGAGAACCAAACCCTTGAGCCACTACAACCCCCAAAGTCCCCTCCACAGGAAGATACCCCCAATTCCTGCCATCCTGAGCCATCTCCAGTAGAACTCCCTCCAACAGAAGAAGATGTTTCTTTAACTCCAACTTCCAGCAGTTTGCTAAACGGCAAAATAAACCAAATCCTTGACTCTGTCAGAGAGAATTCTCTTGCTGCTATCTCATCCCAGCAAGAGCCCTCACCTTCCTCATCATCTCCATCCCCTACACCCCGTGAGCCATCTCCAGCACCAGTCTCGCCATCTCTTTCTCCAATTAAGATCAAAACAGAACCTCTGCACAGTGTAGATGAGCTGCCAGTTATGAATCATACAACTCAAGATATCATGGATTCTTCACCTCAGACTGCTGCTCCTGAAAAACCCTCTGATAAAGCCTCTGAGGGGGAGGAAGTCGACTCGACGTTCTGCAAGACTTTTGTGTGTAATGTCTGCGAGGAGCCGTTCAGCTCCATCAAAGAGCTCAGTGGACACATCACAGAGCACGCTACAGACTGGCCCTTCAAGTGTGAATTCTGCGTGCAGCTGTTTGGCGACGGCCCCGCGCTGCTGGCGCACCGAACAACGCTTCACGGAGTGGGAAAGATTTTTGTGTGCTCTGTGTGCTCCAAGGAGTTCGCGTTTCTCTGTAACCTCCAGCAGCACCAGAAGGACCTGCATCCGAACGAGTCCTGCTCACACACAACCGTAGAGAGCGGCAAGCTTAGACCACAAAACTACACAGATCCCTCTAGAGCCAAAGAAGAAAGCTGTCCTTCAACACCAGCACCAGAGACAGCTGATGAAGCTGCCCCTCACAATGACTCTGATTTAGTGAAAGAGGATCCAAGCATTAATGGGAATCACACAGAGGAAGGAGCAGAGGACCCCAACGAGGAGCTGTACACTACAATAAAGATCATGGCTTCAGAGGGAGGCAAGCCAAAAGGACCTGATGTCCGCCTCGGCATTAATCAACACTACCCCAGTTACAAACCACCCCCTTTTCCCTATCACAGTCGTTCCCATGCTGGCTCTGTGGCCTCGGCTACCAACTTCACCACTCACAACATACCACAAACTTTCAGCACTGCCATACGCTGCACCAAGTGTGGCAACAGCTTCGACAACATGCCCGAACTGCACAAGCACATTTTGGCCTGCGCTAATGCGAGCGATAAGAAGCGTTACACTCCCAAGAAAAACCCCATCCCCCTCAAGCAAATAGTCAAGAGTCCTAACGGGGTCGTGTCACCCACAGCAGCCACTGCAGGTCACAGTGCTTTCCGTAGAATGGGTCAGCCAAAGAGACTTAACTTTAACCAAGATACCGGTAAAACAAAAATGAGTGCCCTCAGTAAAAAGAAAAACCAGCTGGTCCAGAAGGCAATTTCACAAAGAAATAAAGCTGCCACCAATGCAAAAAAGACCGCTAAAGTTGAAGAAGAGCAGGCTTCCAATGTCTGCCCCCACTGCAGCCGGGAGTTTACTTATCCTGCAAGTCTCAATAAACATATGGCCGTCAGCTGTCCCTTGAAGCCTGTTGTTAAAAAAGGCAAAAAAGGTCTCGTAGAGGTGAAAAAAGAGGCAGTGCCTGTGGTAGATAAAAACATGAATCTAAGAAAGAAAGCTTCAGACTGTGAAACCCCACAGACAGAGCCAGAGTCCAAACCCCTGGGAAAGACCAGGGCTCGTAGCTCGGTTGCAGCAGACTCCGAACCCACACTGACCAGCAAAGGAAAACCAGCGGCTACCCAGGGTCGTCAAAAAAGGCCAGCCTCGTTTCCAGCACCAGTCCCCCCTAGCAAAAAAAACAAGAAGGGCCAAGTTCAGTCTCTACCTCCCACCCCAACTGCCCCAGAAACTCCTACTGACACTGCACCCCAACGGCCGGCCATGAGAATGCAGCGCATGGGTAAGGAGGCGGCACCCAAGAAATTAGCAGAGGCCAAATCACAGCCACCGACGCCACAGCAGAAGAAAGAGGTGCGGTTACCCCCCAGAACGAGAGAGAGAGTAGGTGGTCCAGTTACCAGGAGTTTGCAAATTGCCAACACAGCTCCTTCTACTGAGGTGAAAACCGAGGAACCACCGATTCAAGAGCCAAAAGAGACTCAGGTAAGACATTACCCACCGGTTGTTTTTTGTATTTTCTTGCCGCTAGTATTTATTGAAGCATGAGAAATTGGCCACAACAAGAGTTCCTTCATGCAGGTATGCTGGTGTCACTTTTTGTTTGTATGAACAGTTTTCAGCGCTGGTACTCTTAAGGTTGAAGTTTGGGGCTTCATTAGGCCCCAATTAGGTAGTTTGTCAACCAAAAAAACAGAAACCTCACAATTAACCTGCTTTAAGACACAGCTGTGGATTTCCCATTTCTAATTCTTCAAAATAAGGATCCAGGTTTAGTGTAGCGTACAGATCAACATTTGTTCTTCACATAATAAGAGGTCAAAATGTTTCTGACAAGGAAAGAGGCTTAAGGTCCTTTTTTGTCCGTTTTTGTCGTGCGATTATTTTGGACGTCAGTATTTTTTTTTAACCCGTATCCTGTCAATACAAGTGTTCACATCCGCAACGTTTTCCCGTCCTGCGATATTGCGGCATTTATTTTTTCGGATCATGGTCGATTATTCTAAAGTTTCACATAGTGTGTGTCCACTTCTGACCAATCAGATTTCATGTTGCTGCGACGTCAGATTCACTGGTATATCCAACATGGCCAACCGACTGATTGTTTACGCGTCGGAGAGCAGAGTGATTTTTGATAAAAGACACAAATATTACAAAGATAACGACCTGAAGGACAACTTGTGGAGAGTCATATGAGCATTTCTCATATGACGATGGTTTGTGATCTTTAACAGTTTGCTGAACGTCCTTGTTTTAACTTTCATCTGTGCTAAGTAACTTAAGCTCGAAAGCTAACCTGTTCAGATATAACATACCATAAGTATTTTCACTGTCTCAAACTCAGTCGCGTTGCTGTCACAGCACCATTAGGTCTCAGTTGTTACCTTATGTTTATGGATTATAGTTTAATGTGCTTATCTGGTACTGACCCCGACTCAGTACATGCTATCATGACAGACAGACGTCTCAACACTAGTGTCTAATCAGTCTCCTAAAAACTAAAACAAACTGTGTCATAAAAATAAAACCTACAACACAACTTGATGCTTTTCTTTATTAGCTGAAAACATCAGTATTTTGAAAAAAAAAAACTTTTTCTGTAAAGATAAGAGTTTTTTTCAGTTTTTACTATCAGTTTATTTTCACTTTCATTTAAGAACTTTTGAAACCTGAACGTTTGCAAAGAGGTTAATTGTATTTGTGCTCACAATTCTATCAGAACGTTGTTACTGTGATTTAGTTTCCCCACAGCTCAAGGTGATAATTATGTAGATTTTACTGCATTGAAGAAAAGATCAACAGTCTGTTATCCAATCCAATCGAATCCATTTTATTTATATAGCATGATTTAAGCATACGCAAGGTTTCCAAAGTGCCGCACAGCAAGATAAAAATACAATAACACAATGGAAGCACAATAGAAGGTAAAAATAAAACGAGATGAAACACAGTAAAATCCAATAAAATAAAATAAAATCAAAATAAAATAAATGAAGTCAACCTCCTACTGAATGTTAAAAGCCAAGGGGATGAGGTGGTTCTTTAGAAAGGATTTAAAAACCGGGAAAGAGGATTCCTGTCTGATGTGCTGAGGCAGGTTATTCCAAAGTTGAGGAGCTGCGACAGCAAAGGCACGATCCCCTCTGAGCTTCCGCTTTGTTTTAGGCTCTCTCAGGAGCAGCTGACCTGAGAGACCGGGAAGGAGTATAAAAGTGTGGAAGCTCAGAGAGGTGCAGCGGGGCAAGACCATTTAAGGGATTTAATCTTTGACTTTTAAAACGGTCAAAGATGATATTTCTATCACGGATAATTTGTGATCACAGCAGCTGTTGCAGCTCCCTGTCGCTAAGTTTTGTATGCGTTTTGTCTTTTCAGGAATTGCCGATGAAGTGAGCCATGTGGACTTGTTGAGCTCCTCCGGGTAATCACGTTCTCACCTCTCAGCTCTGGACTAATCAAGGCACTGACAGCACTGAGGTGGATCTTTTGTGGTGGGCTTATTCACTCAGAAACTAGTGAAGTCTGCTTCTTTCACCTGCCTTTGCTGGATTTAAGGAGGGAACTGTCTTCATCTTCCATTATTTGAACTGAACTGAGCCTTGATTTTAGCCAGCCTTGCAAAAAAAAAAAGGAAAAAATGAAACTGTACATGACAATGCGTTAATATATACACAGGTGTGTCATTACTTGACCCAAAACAGTAACATTAGGGCTCCGTTATTCTGGGAGGCTGACATATTGCAAAAGGCAATCATGTATCAGTTAGGGTTAGGGAAACTTGTTAATTATTTTGTTCTGTCTTTTCCCCGTTTGGTTGTTTAGATTTTTGGATGTTTCCGGAGTCTCTTAATGCATGTGCTGAATAGAGTATAACCTAGAAAAAGCCAATTTCCATGTCTTTCCCAGCGGGCACCTACTTCAGTTTATACATGATTTGCAAAGTATGTATGTTTTGATTTAAATTTCTGTAGTCATTATATTGTAGAATATATCTTATTGGCATATTTTTGTTTGGGAAACAAAAATAGAAATGGCAGTTGTTTGACTGCCACAATTGGTCCTCAGGAACACTGTGTATGTGTGTGGTAAGTATGTGTTTGGCAATGATTGAATGTGCGACCTGACAGCTATTCCTTTAGTCTAAATCCCCGGTATGTGTCATGTTTTTACTTGCTTTCTCAGATTTTTTTCCCCTTATCTGACATGAGCAGGTAATTTCAGTCGTGAAATGATGGGAATTATGTTCGAGTCTCCTTAAAAAAAAAAAAAAAGTCCGCCTCAGAAGTCATTTTTAATGTCACCCGTTCAGCCTAGTGTTCTTACAGCACTTTAAAAACAAACTGCCAAATTTTTTTTCTAGCTGAATCAGTACAATTGGCGTAAATAGATGAAAAATAATGGAATGTATTCAGGTCTTTTGCACTTTGCAGACATTTAAATTGGTGCGTATGATTCTTACAATCTAAAATACTACTTTTACAGACTTTCTGCAAACGAATCTCTAATTTATTTTCTCTGTTTAACACGCATGAGTGACACATGAACCAACTTTTATATGCCAAAATGCATGATGATGATGACTCAATTTGAATGCAGCCGTTTTTGATTTCATGTCCAATATAAGTGGACGGGGAAAAAGTTGTTTCATGTGTTTTTCCTCTTGAGAGCCATGCCACAGTAATGTAACTGAAGTACAAAGTCATCTTTGTTTCTGATTATGTCTTTGGTAAAACTGGTGATGAAAGCTTATTTTTAGTTCGGCCTCTCCAGTGCTCACCCCCACTCGGTCACTCTCAGTCGTACCACAGAGACAGCAGACACACAGACAGTGCTTTAATATTTGTAGCATGTTTATGGGAAAGTAAATTGATAAATATGATTTGAAGCTAATTTATATTTCCTCCAGAAATCTTCATGTTTTGCCTTTCAGCATCAAGATAATGTATTTAAGGATGAACAAAGACAAAAATCCCAAATGACCTCAAGTAAAACATTGCTGTAATTGACATAATTAAAATTTTTTTTCAGTATCTGTGAAACTGTTTTTGCTTTTCTTTCAGAAGTCAACCATTCATAGATTCATAGCCAGCTCCTAAAAAGAGGGTACAAACACAGAAAACAGGAACATAATTGTAAATGGTTGGAGAGAGTCTTCTACTTCTGGTTTAATTTGGTTTAAAATTACAACCGACCCCTCCCTTAAATATCCAAATCAAAAAGTTTTCAGTCGTATGCTCAGTGGTCTGGATCAGTGTTACATTTTTGTGTTATTCAAACACTGAGAATGACTTTGTGAGAGCAGAGGGAGAGCATGTGACTAACTGCAGTCATAAGTGACTCCAACTCCTCTCAGGCTTCGTCATTCAATGAGACCTTTTTCCTTTTAGTACAACAGATGTCGCAGCTGCAATAAAGTGCTTCAGATTACCTCTTCTGATTGCCCTCCCCTCTTACTGCCCACCAGGAAGCTGCTGGATTTCGTGAAAGGAACAATGGTTACCAACGTATTTGAATTCGAGAGAGCATAGTCATTTCCATCAATCAGATCTGAAGTTTCTACATTTTACTCCACAGGCAGGAGAGCTGCTACCAGAGGGGTCGTGACCATCATCTCTGCTCGCTAGCTGCAGGTAGATCTATATCCATTTTGGGAGAAGTGCTCTTGACAGGGAGGTTTATGTGAGTCATACAGAAGCAAAAGCAAAAATTCTGTAAATCCTCTCTTATGTTCAACTCAAAATGGTAAAGCAAATGATATAGGAATAATTTGCTACCCAGATTTTGTAATTTGTAAGTAATTTGCGATCAATTTTCACTCAGAATGAGGTGTTGTTAAATTTCATTGTACAATAATTAACAAAATCTTCTGGCATCTCCTTTTAAAAAATACTGCATCCTTTGTACACCAAACACTGTGTTCCATAAGCATACACATTCATTAATATGCAGATAGATCAAACACAACTATAACATCAACTTTTATTTGAGCTTTGTAGTCACGAAGAATTTGTGCCATTGTGGCTCGTCTCAAACTAGGAAATGAAAATGAAACTTGTATGTGCCTGAGCCCGTGATTATTCCTCCCCTTTTTTGTGATACTAAATAGCCGCAGCACATTTTCATATGCTTTCTATAAAGAGAAAAGTCTAAAAATAAATAAAAAACCACATAACTGTGGCGGAAAAACACTCACAAAACCACTTAAAGGCACGAAACCCACACACCCAGATGTATAAATATAACTTATTACAAGGCCTTTCAACAATCCTCATTCGCATGTATTTCACAATGTGAATACATTACTATGTGGAGAATTCCGTAAAGTAGAGGCAAATGTATTAATAATTAAATACACACTTCTCACCAACTCGTAGCTAAAATTAACTTCTTTCACATTCCCAAAAAAGTTTTGTACAACCTGATTTGATTAATATTCATGAAATCCACCGCAGCAGTGTTGGAGCAATTTTGAATCCAGCAGTTAAAGTAACATTTTAAATTTTCATCATGGACCACAATTTCTAAAAACCCCAAGCATTGCAAAGTTATAGCATTTTATAATCATCAACACCACTCAAGGTTTCGTTCGGCCCACATGCTTCTATAAAGTCCACTTTGTCTAGAGCCCAGCCTTAAGTTCAGCGTACCTTGATGAGCTATCGGACCCATCGGGTGGACAGTGAGTCACTAAAACACACCTCCAGCATTAGAAGTGAAGTAGAAGAACTGCATCTTCATGTAGCGGGCAGAGTTATCATGTTGATGGATGATTTGAATTAAAAGCGATCTATATGTTGGATGTGATGCACCGGCTGAATCTTAATTTCGTGGTAAGGGGAGATGTGTGTATTTGCACCGATTCCAGGACAGTATTGTTTACAGCTGGCTTTGGTTTATGGGTATTCAGCTGTGTGCGAGTGTGTAGGGGTGTGCACTTGGAAGAGTACTGCACCATACTCAGGCTGTCAGGCTGAAATATCACTGCACTCTCTCCTGATTGCTGTGTATGGTGCTCCAGCCCTATTCATAAAAATGCAATTCCATGCAGCTCTGTGCTTGGCCTGACGAAATAAACGAAGCTACAGCAGAGAGGCAGATTTAAGACGCAGGAGAACGCAGAGGCTGCTTGAGGGGATTGGCACTCAATTACCGTGTGCAAGGAGGTTCAGGACGAGCAGCAATTCCTGAGAAAGACTCAATTTAAGTCTGGTGTGCAGTAACAGTCAGACATCACTAAGTATCTCAATTGAAATTTTTAGTTTCGAAGTCTTTGTGATGTCAACAGACTTGTTTTTTTCTCCAGATAGACCGGATGTATAAACTGAGGAATCAAAGTCAGGAAAAGTCGCTGAGGAACACTTGACATTACCTCATTACTGATGCATGGATTTTGGGGAGGTGAGAGACGTTTTACTGTTGTTAGTAGAGAACATGTCTCAGTGGAGCATTTGTACCTTTTAGGAGCGCAGTCCTGACATTTAAAATGACAAAATACACACTAAGAATAAAAGCCACTTCAAACGTCAAAAGATGAATAAGTATAATGACCACAAACTCTTGTATCTTAGTCAAAACGAATAATTTTTAGTGTAAAGACTTTCAAATGAAAAACACTGGGGTGTTTTCAACTAAGGGGGTCCTGATCTGATATTGGTATCGGAGATCGGCCCAATATCATCAAAAAAATGAATATCTGATAATATTGGCCTGAATCTAAAATCTCCAATATTAGCATTTTGATACAAGCAGTCCATTCCAGATTCCGCTCCAGCACTTCTATCCTGCTTTAAGATTCATCGTTGTTGTGCTAAGGCACAAAGTAGCAAGGAGTAGGAGTGATGTCGGCCATGTGGGAGTATTTTTTGCTTAAGTCTGATAAAGACGTTGCAGCTGAGTGCAACACTTGTCATGCACGACTTTGTGCTAATATTGGATCAATATCGGTATTGGCAAATGCTAAAGGCTACAATATTGGTATTGTATCGGAAGTAAAAAAACAAGTTGTATTCGGATACCCCTATTTTTAACAGATTTTGCAATAATCTCATTCTTATACTGATGCCTCTCTGTGAAAATGAAAGTAAAATGAGATTGTTTGTTTGGGACGAGTTTACTGATTTTATATGAATTTTAGCGCCTGTGTCACACTGTTCAGAACTTACACAGATGTTAAGGACTCCATTGGAAAAGTTTAGCAGTGAGAAGTTAGATAATGAGCAGGAGGGGCATTAAGTACATTTTCTGTTTACCTAGTGGTTTTACTCATGGGAGATAACTAAAGCAGGATCAGCAAAAAGGTGTATGCTTTTGGCTGAAGTATTATAGATGCAAGAACTCTACAACCAGGGCTTTGCTAGGTCAAAGAACAAGATTTAATGTTTTGAATTAAGCAG